TGGATGGGATTCCAAAACTCACTGGGGGAGATTTACTAAAACTGATGCACATAGAACCTGTGCAAAGTAACCAATCAACTTCTAGGTTTTATTGTCAAAGCTTAATTGAACAAGCTGAAGTTAGAAGCTGATTGGTTACTATGCGCAGCTGCACCAGATTCGGAGTGTTCTGTCTATCCAATCTAAGCATTGAAAGTGTGATCTCTGTAACTTACAGTTGTGATGAGATAGCGATAACTCCAATCTCAGTTGGATACCACAGTCAGTGACTCAATCGAGATGATATCTTGTAGATCTTGTGAAGTGTATTCCATAAACTGAATCTTACAACAATGAACATCTGATAGATCAAAAGATCATAATGTGACCTACTTCATGACATGAGGCTGAAGAAATGCATTACTGGGAAAAGGGGTGGGCTATCTATACAGCATTAACTAAACCAAAGGAAAGGGAGGAGCAGAAACAAAATACAGAGAACACTTAAAGGCATATGACAGTCAATATGACAGTAATGTGAAACATGACACAGAGTGCTCCAGTTTTAGTAAGTCTCCCCCATAGTGTACTGTCCAAACTTAAAGCTGAACTCTAGGCACAAAATTATTTACAGGTCTTTGTTGTTGCTTTGCTACCTTCACTGAATATGTCATCCATCTATTGGTTCACTCAGTGGCTGCTTTGAAATAGCCAGATCATTTTTTAAATAAAATGGGTAATTTGCTGTTGTTTCCAGTTTGTAAGACCAGTGACAACTATGCCTTATATTCCCTTGGCCACCAGGCTTGTCGCATCCCTGCTGTAGTTCTTTCTACAGCAAACAGTGACATATTTCCATCCCTGCTCATTGTTGTGGGAAGATGTGAGAGTCTGAATCTCCCATTCTATACCGTCCATAGAGACAGCTCAGGACACACTGGGTCTTTCCTGTCTCCCTTATTCTCATGACCAGGAGTTTCTGCCCCTCTTCCCTCCTATACCACATGATTCATCGGTTACTAGAACATGAACAGCTGCCTGTGTCATAGCAACCAATGACTCATCAACAGGCCTTCAACAGAATAGAAACAAAGGGGTCGGACATGCTGTCTTTCATCAATAACCAAATATGGTCACATGCCACATTTAGTTAACAATATAAGCCAGCATGTCTGGGTGCTTTATATTGCTTTTGTTGTGGTCAGGAATGTCATCACATGAGAGCATACTAGCGGAAGTAGCTATTATAAGAAAAAGCAAACCTGGATGAGGAAAAATTATGTTTCATTATAGCGGACTACATTAGAGATATCTAAATATAGGCATATGGCCATATTTAGTTAGGATTACACACTGCATGTCAGGGTGATTAGTTTCTCTTCTGTTGTGACCTAGTGTGCCCAGCCACATTCACTACAATTCTCTGTTCTTGATAGGAACTGTAGCTTCCTAATACTGTAGAGTGAGAGGGAGGGTGTGATGTGATCTCTGCTGTTACACTTCCTCCTCGGCCCTGCAGATGCTGTTGTTTTTTTAATTAAAGAGATGATGTCATGAAAATCCATGAGACTTTTCTCCTAAAGGATGTTCAATATTTTAATAACTGTTTATTGTTTTATATAGGTGAGTGTACTAATGGATGCTTTTATGCCCATCCCAGAGTTCTTCTTTAAGAAATTGTGAACTCATTAATGTCTTATTAGCTGAAGTAGATTTTGCATGCTACTGCTCTCCTTGGGGTTCCCAAAGATATCACAATTGCACATATGATTTCCCAAATAATTTAAATGTAACATATCTATCATGAGGAGTATATCACCCTTATTCCCTAAGCTAAACAATAAAATCTCTTTTTTATCACATTTATCCATATGGGATATGTTATAATAAGACATTGGTTTGATGAAATATGATTTTCCTACAGCACACAAGTAACCTGCAAATATCTGCTCAAAATAGATTACTTTCCCTAAGAAAATACATATAAGAGCACAAACTGTTTGTTGATTACAATTATTTCGGGCCAAAGCCAAAGAACTCCAGCTAAATATAAAAATACATAGCCTATAAATTCAATCCAGAGACTTTCCCTGCGGTACTGTTTTCTGCCACAAAATGTTATAATGCCCAGAAAAAAAAAACAAAATCACTAAACTTAGTGGGTAGATGATGGGTAGATGAAAAAATACAAAAGAAAAAAGGGGGAGGAGTTCCACATCCAAGAATGTTAACAGAAAATGGCAGTGAATGAGCGAATGAGTAAAGGACAGTGGAATCCTCAGTGGAGTATAAATGCAGAGGGTTCACATAATCTACTTTTGTTTAGGTCCTTATCTCCTGACAGTACACAAGCTGGCTGAGAGATTCTATTCTACTCTGCACCTCTATGTGCTATAGTTCTATATCTACCATTTGCATAATCATCATCTTTATGTAATTATGTACTACAACTTTTATTATTGTACCCTCAAAATGAGTGGGTGCCTATGATGACAATATACCCTGAAATTGGGATAGAGGACTCTGCTACATCTATTTATCCAGCAACATATATAGTGGACATTGGTTATGCACTCCCAAGCTCGCTCCAGGACCTTACTGATGCTTGCAATCTTTTACAATTTATTCCTCCAAACCTCCTATATTCCTGATGAAGCATTATGCTCCACAATCCTAATCTGATCCTAATTTCTCTGGAGTGGTAGTGGTACACCTACTTGGTACACCTACCTGGTAAGGCTTTGATTGACTGTTCTCCTTTCCCATTCGGCCAGTTTGCCAACTTGCTTCGCATTTGTTATGTAAGATAAGGGCATTTATGAATGTGTAATTTTTATAATGTTAACAGTTAGGAAGACTACTTTGTATAAAGTCTATAATCAAACATGGAAGGAGTACTTCACTTGCTGTGAGTATCAGGACTTTCTACTCTTCCTGAAGTTGGGACTAGCTCAGTGTTTGGCTCTCAGCACTTTCATAGGCCAGGTTTTTGCTTTGTCTGTCTTGTTTCAGGGACCATTGACTTTTCACTTCATGAGCTAGACCTTTTTATAGGGAATCTCCCCTGTAGCTCCCCCTAATCATTCCCCTGTATTTCCGAATTTGAATGTGGTTCTCTCTGCAATGCAAAGACTGCAATCCATAAGTTGGTATTTCATGTAACCATCACCCTTGTGAGTTGAGTGTGAGTACTTGGTGGCCTTATCCTGCAAGAACCTTTTATGGCATTGCATAGTTACAAGATGGCGTTGACAACCAGGAGTTCCTTCTTACCTAGGCTAGTTCTGCCTTTCACATCATCCTCTCATCTGGTTCCAGTTCACCAAAAGATTAATTCCCTACAGTGTCTGGACATGTTTCAAGCTGTGAGAGTCTATCTATCAGCCACTGCTACTTTCAGGAAGATCGATTCACTTTTGTAATCTCAGATGACTCCTTAAAGGTACACCAGTTCTTTTTGAAACACCTCTAGGTGACTCGTGCAAACCAACATCCAAACTTAAGGTCTTAAGGATCAGCTTCCACCTTTTTCTGTCAAGGTGCACTCTACTAGATCTGTGAGTGCTTCTTGGTCTTTTTGGCATCAAGCAACTTTCCCAGTTAGTAGGGCTACTACCTTGTATCCTTTTTTTATGTTTTTTAAACTTTATCAGGTGGATACTGAGGCTGTGTCTGAGGCCAGCTTTGAATGCTAGGTCCTTCAGGTGGTTCTTTCAGCAGCAGTTCATTCCTAGGTTTCTATAGTTTTTCTTGGGTTTTTTACCCTTTGTTGCTATGTTGCCCACCCCTTGGTTTGACTGCTTTTGGACATCCCGTTAGTCTAGGAATTAATGTGTCCCTGAATGGATGAGAAAGAAAAAAGGATTGTTTTACTCACCATAAAACCTTTTTTTGGAGTCCATTGAGAAACACAGTTCTCACCTGGCAGTATGACTTTGTCCAAGAATTCTTGTGTCCCCCAATGAACTCCTAGAAAATAATTTTATGGTGAGTACAAAAATCCTATTTTTCTTTATAGGGATTTTAAAATGAATCTGTGGCCAGGCTTTGGGCATTCAAATAGTTACATACTCTTAAAGAGCAGTAAAACAGGGTATCAAGGTATTGCCAATACCCACCACTCGTCAAACAGTCACAGTGGCATATGTGTGGCAATTTGAGACTGTTTGCTTTATAACAGTGGCAAGCGTCCATTACCCTTTCAAAAAGAATTTTCATGTGCAGTAATAAAGGCCTCTCATTGTCACAAGCTCTTTTAATTGCCACTTAGAAAGTCAAAGACAACCCAATTATTTTAACCCGTTGGGCCATTTATGACCAACCTAATTGTGTTACTGTTCTCTACCACAATAAAAAGTTGGGTATAAAGCTAACCAACTATGACGTGTTAAAATCCACTTAATTGTAGGGATGTAGAATTTTTCTAAATGCTCTTTTTGATTTTTGTGGTCTTGTATGAAGCAGAGAACTGTAATCAGCTTGTACATATATGTCTGCTGGTGTTTCATCTCAGTCATTTCCTGTGTTGAAATTACTGCAGCAGGGTGTGCTAGAGGTAACGTTCTGCATTATAAATGTTTAAACCCCAGCTAATTAACATGCTCATGGGGTCTGCTGATGCATGCTCGGAGAAATATTATATATGGAAATCATATCAAAACACTTTCTTAACACTATTAATACAATGCCAATATAGTATGGAGATAACAGCTACTCTGTGGTTCAACACATATTGCCTAAGGATAGCCTCAGATAAAAGTTATTAATACAATTACAAGTGTAGCTTGCTGTCTTGGTAGTCAGGTTTGTATTTTGAATATAAAATGACAACATATTGCATCTGTATGGGGAAGAAATAAATAAAGCACTTTTGGGTTATAATTACTTGTCATATTTTATGTAAACAATTTTAACTGTGCAGTAGATTTCCTTAACTCACAAAGTATTCGCTATCAAGAGTATTATGACTGTATACTTGTTACTTAGTTGCGGAAATTATAAGTAGAAGGATCCTTCCATAGTATTTCAACAGGGTATGCAGCAAAAAGTCTACTGCCAACAGTAGATAGTGCATGTCAGGGGCGGACTGACAACTCATGGGGCCCCCAGGCAATAGGGGATCATGGGGCCCCTGTGTCCTTGCCCAAACTCAAAAAAGCCTATGAAAAAGGTACCAGGGGCATCTCATGGGGCCCCCTACTGACCCCCGGCCATCGGGCAGTGCCCGAGTTTCCAAATGGTCAGTCCGCCCCTGGTGCATGTACTTACTAGGTTAGAAATTTGCTTCAGGAGATGACGTTATTATCTATACTGGAACGGGAGATTGGTAGCCATGCCTCATTTCTCTGGTGACTGTGTAGGTGCTTTGTTTAGTTTGATCCAAGATAGTGGTTCCATACGTTGTGGAAGTGTATCCTATAAACATATTCATTTTGCATTTTATCTAAGATGCTAGAGGGATTTGTGATGATAGTGAAGTTCTATATTCTGTTTTTTTTTTCTTTTTAATTATAGAGAAAACCATATCAATGTTAGCATTGCTGTGTGATAGAACTAAAAAGGGTCTTTCAATTCACCCAAGCTGTGTAAAGTGTACAGATCCCATAGCAGCTAGCTTCATTTTTTAAATATTAAACTATAGACTTTCAATATCACCAGACTCTCCCATTTGTTGTCTTCCAGTGTTTTTTTAACCACTTGCCCTCCAGAGGATTTACCCCCTTCATGACCAGGCCATTTTTTGAGTTACGTCAATGCGTTAATTTAACTGACAATTGCACGGTCATGCAACGCTGCACCCAAATGAAATTTATATCCTTTTTTTCCCACGAATTGAGCTTTCTTTTGGTGGTATTTGAATGCCTTTGCAGATTTTATTTTTTGCACTAAAAAAAAAAAGTCCGACAATTTTAAGAAAAAAAACAATATTTTGGACTTTTTCCTATTAACCTCCTTGGCGGTATTCCCGAGTGTAGCTCGGGTAACATTTCAGTACCAAAAGCGGTAACCCCGAGCTACACTCGGGCTTACCATGCGGCGCTGCTCCGGCATGTGTTCTTCACTTACCTTACCCTGCGCTCCCGCGATGTGTCCCCTGCAGCGTCCCCGGCCATCTCCTACGGTCGATGCCGGCATCCGGCTTCTGTGTCCTGTCCCTGTGACGTCGGGACGTACGGGCGCCGCCGGCGGCGGGAAATTTAAAAATTTTAAAAAATGTCTTTTTTTTTTTTTTTTCATTTTACACAGTAAAACATTGCTGTTTCAACCTATTTCACATACATATTGTCCCTAGTGCTTTGTCCTGTGCCCTGCCTGCATTTTGTCTGTTCTTTCTGCCTGGAAACTGAGAAATGTCCATGGCGTCCAAAAAGTGTCCCTTTAGGTCAAAAGCGGTTTTGATCAGCTAGAGAACAGCGATAGTAAATCAGAACCACTTACAGAATTGAGTGATAATGATTCGTGGGGGAAATTCGTCATCAGAAACTGAAAACGATTTTGCGACTGAGCTCAGCAATGTGCGAACTTGGCGCTCTATTTCACATTTCAGTGTTTTTGGTTTGATTATATTATTGAATTAAATTTTTTATTATTTTTATATTATTTTTATGATTATTTATTAAATTATAATTTATGATTTTGTGTTTCAAATTTTATCATACCCGGGATGTTTACTAGACTCTTGTTCGGACAGATTTCAGTGAGTTTTTCCTAAAAATTACAGGCCTACAATAAAAAAAATACATATTTCCATGCAAAAAAATGGTACCTCTTTCAGCACCAAAAATCTGAAATAATCATACCGCCAGGGAGCTTAACCACGTCCAGTAAAAAAATTTAAAAAATCTAATTTAGTCATAAATTTAGGCCAAAATGTATTCTGGTACATGTCTTTGCTAAAGCAATATCCCAATAAATTTAAATTAATTGGTTTACATGAACATTATAGCATTTACAAATGGCAGCATATATACTGGGATTTTTAATTTTTACTAGTAATGGCGGCGATCAGTGACTTATAGCGGGACTGCGGGACTGCGCCGGGCATTCTGACACTGTGGGGAGCTGACTTGGTGTCGCTGGCATCCCCAGTGACACCAATACAGTGATCAGTTCTAATAAAAAGCACTGACACTGTATTAATGGCACTGGGCAGGAAGGGGTTAACATGACGGGTGATCAAAGGGTTAACTGTATGCTAAGGGCTGTTGTACTATGTGCTATGTCCATGTGCTTCACTGCAAGCACGCTTCTTTGCATGGCTGTGCTGTGCACAGCCATATAAAGCAGTGTGCACAAGCTGACAGGGAGGAGAACTGTTTTGTTTACAAACAGCTCTCCTCCCCATTGGAGATGCACGGCAATCACCTGGTGCCAGCAAGTAATCACCAGCCGGGACCTGGCGATTGACAGCCATAGCAGCGAATGGTGGCTGGGTAGGGCCTCACGCACACCCCCTACCCGGGAATGCAAAATCACTTATACAGTATATACATGATTTTGTGCACTCATGCCACCCTGTAGCAGTATTTCTGCTATAGGACGGTCGGGAAGTGGTTAGTTAATGAAATAACTTTAGTATGTATCAACTTCTTCAGAGGTAAAAACGTTAAGGAAAACATTTATAATGACAGTGAGGTTTCACTGCACAACTGTAGGTGCTTTGGAACATTGAGTATAAGAGCCATATGACTGAGAATTGCATTATGCAATGGCTTTTTCTTCTGAAAAAAGCAGCTAACTCCCACATAGAAATAGTAGAAGACATCCACATTTCTGGATTTCACATTTGACGATTTCAAGAACTGTCTTGTGAAATCAGTGAACAATATGTCTTGATCCAAAAAGTTTCCAGGGTTGACTAATTTGGTTTTGAATATACATAAAGCTGTTGACTAAAGACATTTGGCTTCAGAAACCTGCTTAGTAGCATTTTGAAGAATTCTGAAAGAGCAGAGTGCACCTTTTGAAGAATTGTTTTTCTTGTTGCAACAAATATTTCAGATACATGAGGAGCAGTAGTCTGGCACTCAATAGTTGTTCTGTTTTAGTATCACACATTAGTTCCATCACTCTTCTTAAAGTGGTTGTGAAGGCTAAATGTTTTTTAACTTCATGCATGAAAATGAAAAAGCCTTCTGTGTTCAGCTCTCCTCCAGAGCCCCCCTCCCCGAATACTTACTTTGAGTGCGATCTCAATCCAGCACTGTGCATGAGAGCAGTGACTCTCCCGAGGTCTATCTCTCCTCACTGGCTGACATACAGCAGCAGGAGCCATTGTCTCTCGCTGCAGTCACAGCCAATGAGAAAGAAGTGGGGGGCGGGGATGAATCACGTTTTAGGTGTCTTATAGACTCACTCAGCAGGGGGAAGGGACCAGGAGCACAGATGGGGACCCCAGAAGAGGAGGATCAGGGTTGCTTAGTGCAAAACCATTACACAGATAAGGTAAGTAGGACATGTTGATAGTAAACAAACAAAAAAAAGAGCCTAAATGTTACTTTAACTGTAACTCTGGTAAATCTGCTCCACTCTGTGACTCCACATAAGATTTGATTTTAGGAATTCAGCTATGCTATTTGTTTAGCACATTTAGAAGAAATAATTGAAACTGTGGTTACAGTGTAGCCTGTATCCACACACAATATAGAAAGTCCTTTTTCAACATTTAACTCTTTTGTTGAGAAACTCCACTTTGAGAAAAAAAAATTCCCTCTTGCTGACCAATGTACATTGCAAGGATTTTAACAAACTTTGTAGCACAGTTCTACTTGTTTCTGTATTCTGTATGCTCAACTACACTGCTCAAAAACATTAAAGGAACACTTTGAAAACACATCATATCTCAATAGGGAAAAATATCATGCTGGAAATCTATGCTGATATGAACTGAGTAATGTGTTAGGAAGGTAAGGAGGCCCCATCATTTGATGGAAATGAAAATTATCAACCTACAGAGGATTGAATTCAAAGGCACCTCGAAAATCAAAGTGAAAAAATGATGCAGAAGGCTAGTCCATTTTGCTGAAATTTCATTTCAGCAACTGAAAATGGTGCTCAGTAGTTTGTATGGTCCCTACATGCTTGTATGCATGCCTGACAACATCGGGGCATACTCCTAATGAGACGACTCAGGGTATCCTGGGGTATTTCCACCCAATCTGGACCAGGGCATCACTGAGCTCCTGGACATTCTGAGGTGCAACCTGGCAGCACTTGATGGACCGAAACATGATATCCCAGAGATCTGCTATTGGATTTAGGTCAGGTGAGTGTATGGGCCATTCAATGGTATCAATCCCTGTATCCTCCAGGAACTGCCTGCACACTCTCGCCACATGAGGCTGGGCATCGTCATGCACAAGGAGGAACCCAGGACCCAGCAGCATAGGGTCTGACAATGGGTCCAAGGATTTAATGCCGATACCTAATGGTAGTCAGGGTGCCATGTCTACCCTGTAGAGGTCTGTGCATCCCTCCATGGATATGAGTTCCCAGACCGTCCCTGACCCACCACCAAAGTGGTCATGCTGAATGATGTTACAGGCAGCATAACATTCTCTACAGCTTCTCCAGGCCCTTTCACATCTGTCACATGTGCTCAGGGTGATCCCACTCTCATTTGTGAAAAGCACAGGGCACCAGTGGTGGGCCTGCCAATTATGGTGTTTAATGGCAAATGTCAATCAAGCTCTATGGTGCTGGGCAGAGAGCACAGGGCCCACTAGAGGATGTCAGGCACTCAGGCCACCCTCATGAAGTCTGTTTCTGATTGTTTGGTCAGAGACATTCAAACCAGTGGCCTGCTGGAGGTAATTTTGTAGGGCTCATTATAGTGCTCATCCTGTTCCTCCTTACACAAAGGAGCAGATACTGGTCCTGTTGATGTGTCAAGGACTTTCTACAGCGCTGTCCAGTTCTCCTAGAGTAACTTCCTGTTTTCTGAAATCTCCTCCATGGTCTTGAGACTTTGCTGGGAGACACAGTAAACCTTCTGGCAATGGCATATATTGATGTGCCATCCTGGAGGAGTTGGACTGCCTGTGCAACCTCTGTAGGGTCCAGGTATCACCTCATGCTACCAGTAGGGGCACAGACCCTAGCCAAATGCAAAACTAGTGAAAAACAGTCAGCAAAGATTAGTAGGGAAAAAAATGTCAGTGGCCTCCACCAGTAAAAGCATTCCTGTTTTGAGGTTGTCTCATTGTTGTCCATCTAGTGCACCTGTTGTTAATTTAATTAAAATCCCCCTCTGCTACTTAACTGAC